ATTGTGCGATTGCCCAAAGAGGACGTCAGACACATCCAGGCCATCGAAGCGTCTGTGGAGAGGGAGGGTTGCATTTGCCAGGGACACTACGGTGGGGAAAATGTCCAAGGTGCTGGAAGAAAGAGGTTGATTTCATTAGAAAAATGGACACAACTGTCTGGATAAGTCCCCTCCACACCCCTAAGCTTGAAGCCTGCTCCTCAGACAGCCCAGTCCTCACATGCCAGTCAGTGCAGCCTGGGCTGGGATGTGCTGGGAACCTGGACTGCCTGATGCGCTGTGTTAGCTAGCACACTTTTGGGATGGTAGCAAGAGCATGTGCATGAGACATTTGTAATGATGACCCTGCCTCCAAAAGGAAAAGAACTGGCTCCCTGGACTCTGCCTCCATCACTGCATCCCTCCAGAGGCAAGGGGACCCATCCACCTTTCCTACACAGATGCACTGAGACAGGCCAGAGTTCCTGAGAAACCTGGAGTCTATCTTCAGGACATATTCAGCCTCCCCATCAGCAGCACATCCAAGCACCTTGCTGCCATCTATGAATCTATCTATGCACAACTTGAGAAAGCATTGGGGAAACACAGGCAGGAACCAGGGGCTGGACTCACCCAAGGTCTGAGGTGAGGACCCTGCTTGGTTTTGTGTTTCTACAGTGCCCAGCAGAGCAAGACCTGGTCCTACTACTGTATACATGCTTTAAAGCCAAAGCCACCCTAGCACCAGTGCCTGGCCCACAGCTCCCCACCCAGCCTGTATAGGTGAGCAGCTCCTGCTAAGAAAGGATGGAGCAGCACTGCAGACGCAGAGCTATCTTGCATGCTCTGGGGTCCCCATGGAAGACAACACTAGCTAGGGATCCTGCAGTACAGGCTGGCCTCAAGAGTTTGCCCCAAGTCCCCATAGAAGGCAATGGGTCACCCTCTAAGGAGACCATTATTTTTTCCATTCACCCACAGCAGAGCTTATACCCCTGGGAAAATGTGGTCTTGCTATTGCATCATGCAGCAGATGTAGAAGCCAGAATGGAAAATGCTTGGTGCACTTATCCCAAAGAGCCTGTCAGCATTTCCACCATAATCCTGTCCTTTCAGGGGCTTACAGCTGCACCACAAACATTGCTGCAGGCTCATTCTGGGTTACTCCACATATGCTGAGGCTGTGCTATGGGCATGACACACTGAGCAGAGTGCACAACCCTGCTTTCTGCCTCTCAGGCTTTGCAGCAGAGTGACAGGATGGGCCCAGAATGGAAGGGGGGAGTTTCTGCCTCAAGGCTTTGGCACCGTCCACTTGCACAACCACAACCAGGATGCTCCTGCATGAACACGTAGCAAGCCGCAATCCCAGGTCTTCCTGGGTCCAGGAGGCCAAAAACCCGAACAGACCAGTCGAGGGACTGGGAATCAGAAACTGACTTCCTTTGCCACTGACTTACAGTGCAGCCTTGGCGAAGTCACTTTAACTTTCTGGGCCAAATTCCCCAACATGGGCAGGCACAACCCAAGCAAGATGAGCAGCAAATCCAGCTCTCTGCATCCCCGTTTCCTGTTATCTAGCCCTCCCTTTAGCATCTCCATTCTCCGCTTTAATCCTGCTCCCTGGCACAAGCATGAATGGACTCCACTGAGTGCCAAGTAGGATTCCCACATCCCCTATGGCGGAGCAACACAGTGTCCTGCTCCTGTTTACACAAGGTGATTCGAGGCTGCCACAATGACCTATGTCCCAGATTTGGTGACAGGTGTGCTCATCAGCAAAGCCCCCTCCCCTGCACACAGGAAACAGAGCATCGGCCGTTTTCCAGAGTACACCATCCCACATGGACCATGTGCACGGACAGAGGAGAAACATTCCCAGTAGAAGGGCACTGAGACCGCTGGCCTGGGCTGGGCTGGGCTGGCCAAACACAGGCTGCGAGGGGACATGGCGGCCCTCTGGGAGTAAACACCAGCAAAAGGGAATGAGCACCGAGCTATTTAAACCAGAGGACAATGCTGGCTCAAGAACAACTGGGGATCAACTGCTCTGGGTAAATTTAGTCTGGAAATACAAAGAAGGTTTGTAAACATCAGGGTCATGAAGTTCTGGAACAGCCTCCCCCACAGAGAGGAGGGGGAGATGGGCCAAAAGCCCTGGCTGGTGTTAGGATGGAGCCTGAGTCGATAAGGGGGAACCTACGCCATGGTACCTACAACAGCAGAGCACAGGACACTGACCCACCAGTCCCTGTGTCCCTCAAAGCGCTTGGAGAGCTGTGGATAAGGGCTCAGCAGAACCTCTGGATCTGGTTCAACATCTGCACTGGGGTTTTTAAGGCAGCCCGGGGGGCAGTGCATTGAGCATTCCCTGACTGTCAGGGACAGCTGAAGGGCCCAGCCATCACTCTGTGAACTGCAGCATCTCCAGCAAGCGGGCTGGGGAACGCAGCTGGCAGTGGGCTCCCAGTGGCGGTACCAGCAGGTGCCATTTACAGGTGCCAGGCTAGCTGCCAGCGTGGCTCAGCAAACAGGATACACCTCCTCCGGTAGCAGCCTCCTCCTCACCGGCTTATTCAGAAGTTGTAAAAGTCACTGATAACAATAGGAAAGTATAAGAGAGAGCCCCGCCTGCAGTGCACACTGCCCTGGATCAGCAGCCCTGGTCATGGTGCCAATGTGCCAAGGGTCTCTTCTCTGCAGGCCCTTTGCACACCCTCATCCCCAGCCCTGCTGAAAAAGCAGGTAAAGTCTCTGCCTCAGCCAGAGTTCGCATGCACACAGTGGAGCCTCTCAAGGGAGAGGTTTCCTCTTGTCTTGCAAACCCTCAGGCATGGCAACAGAGATGAATCCCCTTGCTTTAGGAAGTAAAGCTTAGATACCAGCACAGAGGGAAGTGGGGGGGCATGTTGTGCTGCAATATAAGCCCCCATGGCAGGAAATCCCAGTTCTTCCCCTGGGGACTGGTTTAGCCTTTGCCTTTGCTACCCATCCTGACACGCTACCGCTCACCTGCTGCAAGGGAGGGCTGAGTTTGCAGCCCACAGATACAAAACTCATCTGAGAAACCGGGTAAAGACAGGGTGGTTTGCTCAGGCCAAGCTCTGTGCTGCCACAGCTACATGATTAGCAGAACGCAGTTGGCTGGTTTAAACCATCTCGGGTACCACGACCCGAGCCACAGTCGCCGCACTGCAGAGATGCTGACAAAGCCGGTGCTTCAAGGTGGAAGGTGCCAGCAGAGCACCTAGCCCTGCACTTAGTCACCTTTCCTGCTAATGCTAAGGAGCAAAACTGGAAGTCAATGGGAGTTTTGCCTGAGAAAATGCTTCTGGCCCAGGCCCATGGTTATTACCCTGCATACAGTGCCTGTTGCATCAGCTGGAAGAGGAGGGACATGAAGGTTCCTGCTTCAATCCGTTTGGGGTTAGCTGCTAAGAGACTGAGAAATCAAACAACAAACAACAGTGGGAAGGGCTGTAAGGCAGGCTCACTGGAAGGTCGCCTCATGGAGACAGGCCGGTCAGTTAGGCAAGCAGGGAGATTGCTAAGCTGGCTCCAAACCAGCAGTGATCCTGTTTGATTCCCCCAAAATGATGGTGCTCCAGTCCGCCTCTCTGCTTTGGAGCACGCTTGAGGAAGTCCATATGCTCAGCAGAGAGCATTTGCTAATCCCCACCCCAGACCTCTAGGGACTGAAATACCCTGGCAGCTGCAGGGGCTCAGAGCAATCTCAAACCACTGTATGAAAACCAGTTTGAAGCAGCTGCCAAGGCCACTGGACACAGGACCCCAGGGAAGTGACAGAGAGAGGGGTGTGCATTGGACCCCTGCGGCAGTGTTTGCAGTGTTTTGAAAGCTCAAAGCAAAAGTTCAGTGAAACAACCACAGGTCACGTGTGCTGATCGTGGCCCCAGTTCTGCAAAGGGACCTTCTGAGCCTCACAGGCAGGTCCTTGTGCAAAATTAGACCCTCGTCACGATGACAGCTCCTTTCCGCTGGACACTGAGCATGCTCACAAGAATCTGCCCTGAAGAACGTAGCGTCCAAGACGAGGGTCCAGGAGGCTTGTCTAGAAACAGCACCCCTCAGGGCTACTCCCCAACCCAACCCACTTGTTTGTGATGCTCACACAGAAGCCAAGCCTTGGGTTTATAACTCGCCTGCCTATGTATGATCCTGTGGTCCCAGCTGCTGCTGTCAGTCTCTTTCCCCACCCACTCTGTGAGTAGTGTCCTCTACAACTGGCTCTGGATCAAGAAGATCCAGCTGAACACTGTCCAGGAGATCACATTCCAGCATCCCTTGCAGCTATGAAACCCTGATGTCTCATGCTGTGATATAACCCCGATGTCAAGTCATCCTTCCTGTCAAGGTTCCAGATCTTCTGTCCTAAACACAAGAGCTCTTTCTACATTGGTGTCTTGGGGTCAAGAGCATGGTCATAAGGATATGTTCTCTCCCCTGCTTGCCAAAGGGAGGAAAGACCAAAGACTATCGTCAAATGTGACACAACTATGTTGGCTAGGTCACCCTGGTTAAAAAACGGATGCACGCTACAGTCAAAGATACACATTTAGTCCTACAGCTCTTCCACCGAGTTCTCTTTGTTAGACTGACAGCGTTTATTCTCAAGCATTCCCCATAAAGATAAAAGACAGTTCCTCATCCCTGGGACAGGAACATCCAGAGCACACAACCCACTTTCTTGTGTTAAGATCAAATGCAGAAGTTCCTGACCATGTAATGCAGTAGTGGCAAAAATCTCTGTGGGGTAACATGTACTTGCCCTGTGGAAAATTTCATAAAACATCTGGCTTCTTAAAATTCACCTTTCCAAAAAATGTGTGAAGGCAGATATGATGCAAGAACATGGGAATCAGATGGAAAACTAGTGTTGAAAGGAGAAGTAGCTGTGGCTACACAGCAAAAAGCAGCAAGAGAACTGCTGGTAAATAAAGTTGCTCCAACTTCCTGTTGAGAAACAATCACCATTCTGACTACACACACTTCTCCCAGCTTGTTGGAAGACAAGCCGTGGGACGAATGCGTTGTAAGATCAAAGCAGCAAAGCCATAAGAAACTGGCAAGTTTCTTAGATGATGCTCTGACCAAGTCTTTCTAAGAGTCTAC